GTTTAAGGGCCCGGAGATCACGAGCATCCAGTAGAGTTTTACGGCCTGGACCCTTACGCACAGCGATTGTTCCAGATTCTCTGAATCTTTTGATGATGTTATGCACGGTTGATGATGATAACTTAAAAGTCTTTGCTATTTTACGCTGGGTAACACCATTCTGGTATTGCTGCACTATCTTTCTGCGCTACAATGGTGAAATTGGTGATCCTCTTACCATCTCGGCTTCTGAGAGACACTGGCACTCTGAGAAGCTCTTTTTATACCAAATCATGTTGTCAATTGACCTAATTAATGTTAATTGGTCTTCCAGCTGTTCATTATATGCTCAATTTCCTTTTTCCAGCCACTTATTGCTACTTGTCCCAACTTTTTGGGGATTTGTTGACACTGTGAAATTTTGAATCAACATATTTTTCCTTTAAAATGTTACATTTACTCAGGTTAAACTTTTGATCTGTCATCTATGTTATATTACGAATAAAATATTGGCATTTGCCATCTCCACTTCATTGCATTCAGTTTTTATTCACAGTTTGTTTAGTGTCCCAACTTTTTTGGAATCCGGTTTGTATTAATTCTGCCTCAAATCTGATTGTCTTGAAAGCTTTCCATGTCCAGGTAAAGTTTGTGCAACGTCACACTCTGAAACCATTTGTGTAAATGTATTTGAATAGGTCTAAAAATGATTGCTTTCCATCTAAATATGTTTTAATCTCAATTAAAAAGTTGACGTGGGGAGGATAATTTTTATTACAATATTCTGAAAGTTCGGATCTCACTGAGCTCCGACTGTTAGAGACTCGTTGGAGAATCAAAACTGTAAGAAAATCTGCACATTTTTAGTTGAAGTCCCTGAATTCTGAATGTTTGCGACCAAACGAACAGTGAACCATGTGACCACACTTAGCTCGGCCAATTTGTGAAAATCATGATTTATTGTCTTTTGTAGAATTTGTAAAACTCAATTCAAAATGCTTTATTAATCCCGAAGGGAAATTAAATGTGGTTGTAGCTCATCATCCTGGTTTCATTAAGAGTTGTTATACTGTATATGACTGCTGCAGGCAGGAAGGATCACCCGCATCAGTCCGTCCCGCAGCGAATCTGAAGAAACTGGCTGCAGATGCCGATCCGTCCACCTGGACCCAGCAGGCCTCTCAGTCCTCCTGGTCAGCAGGACCACCTGAATCTTGGGCAGAACTCCTCCCTGAGCGATGGCCACTCCTCTCAGCAGCTTGTTGAGCTCCTCATCATTGCAGACAGTCAGCTGCAGGTGTCGGGGGATGATCCTGGTCTTCTTCTTGTCATGAGCCACGTTTCCTGCCAGCTCCAATGATCTTAGCAGTCAGTCACTCAAGCACCTCTGCCAGGTAGACTGAGATGCATCCACAGCACCTCCTTTACAACTCATTTAGGATTTGGGACTGTATTTGAGGTAATATTTGAACTTGGGATGCATGATATTGGATTTTTGGCAGATATCCGATATGTTAAAACTTATTTGGCCTATAACCGATACCAATACTGATTTTTATTCCCCTAGACTTACAGAGACTCCATAGCTTTCTCGGCTGTGGAATTAATATATTACATTATTCTGCATGGTCTTTGTCAATTTGGCCTGCTACCAAATGCAGATGCCAAAAAGGGGGCTGAAAATGATGTAACACTTCAACTTGGATTATGTTTAATGTCAAATTTGATGACATTTACTCTCTAACACAATGACAACACTCGAACAGTGTAAATTTGTAAATTTTCACAACTCTAAACTCGATGGCGCTCGTAACGTCATAACGTTGTGCAGTAGTAAAAAGGTTTAAAAAAAAATAATCCAGCTGCACAGCATCCAATACCAGAGGAAGTAATCATCCAACAAAAGCCATTTACATCCAGAAACAAGATGAAATAAAGTTTTCAAAAGCAACATCCCAGAATAAAAGTAGCAGCTACTCCAACATGCAGCCACCTTGAGGAGTGCAGTTCTAGGCCATGTACCAGTATATGTTTTTTTTTTTATGTTTTTGTCAATGGAGCACTGTCATGCACGTGTCAAAATACAGCTCTAGTGTTCTTGAGACAGGTTGGAGACACCTTAAGCAAAATGTAGATATGAGTGAAATGCCTGCGACACCTCTGCGAATATTTTGATGGAAAATCTGCTGCATACATTTGTTTAAACCCAAAATTGCAATTTACCACGTACGCCAGGAACCACCCAGCTGTTTCGTTACGCATGATGCACGTATGTTTTTGGACTGCGAGAGGAAACCAGAGTACCAGGAGAATACCCACACGTGCACAGGGAGAACATGCAAAGTCCGAGCAGAACCACTGTTTCTCTGTGCAGCTAAAATAAAACCATCATCTTGGTGTTTTTTCAGTAAACAACAGAACTGCGTCATAACGAATCCTCCGTAAACAAAAGGATCAGGTAATGTGTTTTTATTATTGACTGCATCATGTTCTCATGACAAACTTACAGTTTTGTTTTCGTGTAACAACGATTCAGCCATTGTTTGCATCCCACCTGTTGTTTTCTGAGTGCTCCCTGCACCACCGTGCTGACGTGTCTTGTTTCATTAGGGGATGACCTATTTCCCAGCATTAGTATTCATCAGTGTGTTCTTTGGCTTTGGGCTGACTTTTCACTTACTTGTATTAGACACAATTCAGTGCTGCCACTGCGCTACACGTGCTTTGTCGTACTTTTATCATCTTATCAGGGAGAAACAAATACACTGGGATTGTTGCTGTTCAAACTGTTCACACATAAAACACAAAGGCAGCGTTCTCAGATCTGTTTATTCAGAGCTTATTTGAATATAGCTGCATGCTGGGTTAAAAAAAAACAACCTGTTGTGAGCTCTGAGCCAGCCTGTTTGTGCACAGGTATTCCAGTTCCATCCGGCATTTATCATTTATGCCCCGAGCATTTGCCAGGATTTCATATAACTCCAAAATACAACCAGCCCTGCTGTACTGTTACGGTTAGTCCTCAGTATTTTTTACTTTTAACAAAATGCCTCTGCACTCATCAGCTCTTTCCCAATGTAAGCATGATAGTATCCATGCACATCTTTGCTCATGTCATTGCCCTGACATGCAGTAGAGTTGCAGCAGTCATCTCTCTGTCACATTTACTGCACCTTTGGATCGCAAATCCAGAGTGACAACAAAGACTTCTGCTGCTTATTTGTCAATAAGTTCATGCGATTTAATTCATGTTGAGATGAATAAAAAACATGTCAGAGGTTCTTATTATGTAGATCACTGACAACAAGTGTTGCGTATGCTATTTAAATTAAGTGTGTGTGTGTCTGCTGGAAAATAAAGTCCTCATAAAAAATGAAATAAAAATCATCGAGACTCAAACATGAGTCCCGAAAATGTTAAAAATCTGATGAGATTTGATTCAGTGTTGTATTTATTTTAATGTTCATGTTTTGGTCCTTGCTCTGAGCCAGGTTTTATGTTTCCAAAAGAAGGTGAAGACACAAACGTGACAGACAGAAGGAAGAACAGAATGACCAAAGCTGCTGAGGAGGAAGAGGAGGAGGGAGGCGACAGCAGCAGTGATGCACCGAGGCGACGTGTGGATCAGATGCTGTCACGTGTGTAAACTCAGAAGAGCTGCTGATGGTTGGAGTTCTTCTGTTCTTTGCTCAAATCACAGAAAATACTGAGGCTGAATGATTTCCAAAACAACTTGAACATTTCTGGTTTATATCTCTTGGAAAACATGAATCTGTTCTGATATATGCACAATAATTCAGAGAAATATATCAAGGCTTAGCATCTTGTTGGATGGATTTATTCTATTATGCAACATTTTTTAAATTTCTCCTCTTAAAAAAGGTTAAGTTGCAGTTTTATTCACTATTTTATTTTATTTTACTATTTGGTTGTTGCTTCAGGAACCATCACAGCTGCATTTTGCTTCATTTTGTAAATAAAACTAACTATTTGTGAACAAATAAAAAGCCACAAAAAGCCAGAATGCTTAAGTTTGTTTTCAAAACCTTTCAGATATTTTGGTTTTTGTGTATCGAAGGGCAAAAATAAAAATAGCTTGTTTGTTTTGATGACATCACTATTCAGTTTTGAAACTAAATGAATGCAAAATTAAATATGTAAGGTGTTTGGCCTG